ACACCAGTGAAATATCATACAAGGCACTATTATGAGTTATGAAACGGAGCGTTTAGAAGCAGAGCATCTGCTATTGGCCAATTTGTGAATATTCAATATAAATCTAAATAAAACATGCCGTATAACCCAATAGGTGAAGTTACTTAAAGAGGACCTATCATGCATCTTTCTTTACTGTCGCTGTTTGAGCATGAAAAACACGCCACAATATTCCTCATTATAATAATTAATGCGCAGAATAAAGGGGCGGGGCCTGGTTGAGTTAGTTAGTAGTGTGTTAAACTGGCGGTTATGGGAAGGGGCGGGACATTTCCCAAACACACTCGAAGCGCTCGACCAATCACAACACACTGCTCCAGCCGACCAATCATAGCACAGTGTGCTTTCAGAAGGAGGGGCTTCATAGAGACAGGAAGTAAACAGAGCGTTACTGACAGACTGGGAAGAGAGGAGCCGCAACAATGAGGAAAATAATCAACATTAATGCATTAAAACCTGTTCTAGTAGAGCCTGAAACTACAAGACATAATAGGTCCTCTTTAAAAAATGTATATCCCCAATTTAAAGGTGAAGTGTGTCATTTCAGCGTCACCAAATGCAATTGCAATCCCACTTTTATGGGCCGTTCGTACAGGACACATTCTTGTGTTCATTGTGCACTATTTTTGTTTGTTTGATTTTTTAACACCATGCCTGCTTCTATAACTATATTCATGCCGAAAACCCAAAAAAAGTATCTTCTGCTCACCAAAGCTGCAGTTATTTGGTCAATATTACAGTAAAAAAATAGAATATTAACACCAATAATGACATAACAATTAGGAATAAATTATATTATATCATATTTATATAAATAACATAATATATAATTATATAAATAATAAATTAGGAATAATTTATAACACAGGAATAAATTACACTTTACTATATATTCACATACAAAACAGATATTTTAAATTGATATTTTTACAGTATTTTTGATCAAATAAACGCAGCCTTGGTGAGCAGAAGACACTCTTTTATTTTATTTTTTAACATTAGAAAATCTCAGTTCTTCCAAACTTTTGACCGGCAGTGTATAAACGTGTGTTTTTAATGCTAGAACGTGTGACAGCCAGAAGAAGATTACATTGCGTGAAAAAAGACAAACTTCACCTTTAAACCGCGTTGTAATAGCAATCTTTCCTGGTTTAGGGAGGCTTGGTGAGCATGGAGATCTGTAGGAGGTTTAAGCGCACTGTGATGACGGGGCGATGACAGTCACACATCAGTAATCTGCTAATCTGGTAAACCTGACGCTACTAACGAGCAAAGGGTTGGACTATAATCGCAGCAGCACTGAAGCATCACATCATGAGTAGAAACGCATGAACGGACTTTATTCGCTCACGATTTCTGACAAGGTTCTCCATGCATCATTTTTTAAAGCATAGAAATCATACAGAACATTAACTTTGTTTCGTCTACACTCTTCAAGGAAAAGGTTCGATACGTCAGACGCTTCATATAAAGAAGCTTTCATGGTTCCATCACTTTATGGATTTAGTTAATTCAAGTTTGAAAGTGATATTTGTGTTTAATGACCCTACAAGTTCGTTTAAACCATCAAAATACAAGGGGAAACTATGTTTTAAATATGAGCGAAAAAACAAAACACTAAAGTTGGTGTAGGTATTTATCTGAGAAAACTATTTGACAAACTCCAGCTACAGGTTTTATTTGACAAAGCATAAAAATGCATAGAAAAACAAAAGGCAAACGACTACAACATAATCAGTTATTAATATTTAGTTGGTTCTTTCATTTTTGCACGTGTTCATAATTTCTGGCCAAGAATGATGTTGCACAGTTTGTCATGTTTCATCATCACAAATAAAACATTCATATTCAATATGCTGACAAAATGCTGCATGTACACTAAAAAAAATCATGGGTTATTCTTTTCTACCCAAATTCTGGGTTGAGCCTTTTGGGTAAAAATTTTGGGTTCTTTTTTTTCCATGTTTGGGTACTTTTTTTGTGTTACCCAGCTCCTGGGTCAGACGTCACAACCCAGTGTTTGGGTAGTTTTTGTGTAACCCAGATCCTGGGTCAGATGTAACAACCCAGTGTTTGGGTAGTTTTTGTGTAACCCAGATCCTGGGTCAGACGTAACAACCCAGTGTTTGGGTAGTTTTTGTGTAACCCAGCTCCTGGGTCAGACGTAACAACTCAGTGTTTGGGTAGTTTTTGTGTAACCCAGCTCCTGGGTCAGACGTCACAACCCAGTGTTTGGGTAGTTTTTGTGTAACCCAGATCCTGGGTCAGACGTAACAACCCAGTGTTTGGGTGGTTTTTGTGTTACCCAGATCCTGGGTCAGACGTAACAACCCAGTGTTTGGGTAGTTTTTGTGTAACCCAGATCCTGGGTCAGATGTCACAACCCAGTGTTTGGGTAGTTTTTGTGTAACCCAGCTCCTGGGTCAGACGTCACAACCCAGTGTTTGGGTAGTTTTTGTGTAACCCAGATCCTGGGTCAGACGTAACAACCCAGTGTTTGGGTGGTTTTTGTGTTACCCAGATCCTGGGTCAGATGTCACAACCCAGTGTTTGGGTAGTTTTTATGTAACCCAGATCCTGGGTCAGATGTCACAACCCAGTGTTTGGGTAGTTTTTGTGTAACCCAGCTCCTGGGTCAGACGTCATAACCCAGTGTTTGGGTGGTTTTTGTGTTACCCAGATCCTGGGTCAGATGTCACAACCCAGTGTTTGGGTAGTTTTTATGTAACCCAGATCCTGGGTCAGATGTCACAACCCAGTGTTTGGGTAGTTTTTGTGTAACCCAGCTCCTGGGTCAGACGTCATAACCCAGTGTTTGGGTAGTTTTTGTGTAACCTAGATCCTGGGTCAGACGTCACGACCCAGTGTTTGGGTAATTTTTGTGTTACCCAGCTCCTGGGTCAGACGTCACAACCCAGTGTTTGGGTAGTTTTTGTGTAACCCAGATCCTGGGTCAGACATCACAACCCATTGTTTGGGTAGTTTTTGTGTAACCCAGATCCTGGGTCAGACGTCACAACCCAGTGTTTGGGTAGTTTTGTGTAACCCAGCTCCTGGGTCAGACGTAACAACCCAGAGGTTGAGTTATTTATTTTTTGTGACCTCTTCAGGAGAGAGCAGTGCAGCGCCGTCAAACTGGTGCGTGTCTTCGGTAAAATACAGGTTTGTGTACATTTTATTTTATCTATAAATTCGTTATCGTTCTGTATAACGTTTAATTTTATGCAAAGCAACATACAGGGGCGCGATGTGTGTCTCAAACGAGTGTCACGCCGGTTTTTTCACGTGATGGAAACGCCTGATGCCTTGTATAACATTTTATGATTTTATTCAAAATGATTCAGGATATAAATACTTAGAAAGTTAAAATATGTCCTCAGAACAGTACACTGATTGTTTATGGACAGGTTATGGAGTCACAGCATATTTGGGCAGCGAGTGAAACGCAGGGCGGCGGTCAGAAGTTAGAAGTTCTTCTTTTTTTAAATTCTTCACATTAATTCATGTGTCAAGTAAAAAAAAAAAAACAGTATTAAATAGTAAAAATAAATCAACCCATTATGCTGGGTTAAATAAACAACCCAATTTGCTGGGTAAAATTAACCCAACATGTGTTCTGTCCTATATTTACCCAGCCATTGGGTTGTTTTTAACCTACTGTTTTTTAGTGTAACTTTTTCTTGTCTGTGCTGCTAAAGCATAAAAATACCAGAATATGTTTGCAGATATTTAGAAAACAACAAGGTCACATACTTTTTTCTCCGAAAAACAATGCTACAGTTATTCCACTTTGAAACATACGTCCCGTGTCGTAATGTGTTTGTGTTTCGGTCTGTGTGACTCCGCCCACTGCCAATCACCCGATAGTATTTCGACACCCGGGTTGCCAGTTTGAGGAAAACACAGCGTACTGGAGCCAGGAAAGGCAGCGAACATCTGGATCAGAGATCACAGACTCAACATGACCTAAAAAGCTTCGGCGTCTTCTAAAAAGCTCTATGAACAGAGGCGTATAAAACCGTGGATTAATAAACTCGTTAATTTACAGTGTAAAGCTCGTCTCGTCCCTGTTGCGTGTCAATCTGGCAACCCGCGTGAGCAATACCTTCGATTTGGACTGCAGTACCCATTTCAACCTCTAGCTGTCAATATTAAATACTTTACCTTTCAATAATATTTGATTAAAGGGTCAAGATGTCACTACTGTACTAAAAAAAGTAAGACATTTCTTCTTACATAGAAACTTTTTGGCATAAAATTGAGTCACGAACTCTAAGGAACCCGAGAGAACCTTTTCCTCTAAGAGATTCTGACGAGAGACGGATCACATCTGATGTCTTCACCGTTGACCGAATGCATAAAGTTAAGCATTTATCAACTCTGTATAATCGCTGTATGTGTGAACGCTTAAAATAATTTGCTCAATCTCACATTGAAAAAAAAAAAATAGTGCTGGGCAAAGATTAATCACGATTAATCGCATCCACGATAAAAGTTTGTGTTTACATAATATATATGTGTGTGTACTGTGTATAATTATTTTCTATATATAAATACTCACACATGCATGTATATTTTTAAGAAATATTTTCATGTATATATTTATATATAATTTATATTATATATAAATATAAATATTATATAAATAACACATTTTTCTTAAATGTTAGCACATACAGTCTCATAGCAAATTGTTCTTAAATATATAAATATTTTATAGATAAATAGCAACATTTTAATTATTTGCACATATATACTGTATATATATATATATATATATATATATATATATATATATATATATATATATATAATTTATATTATATATAAATATTTTATATATAAATATTTTTTTTTTAAATTAATTAATTAATTAATTTATATTTTACAAAATAATTATACACAGTACACACACATATATTATGTAAACAAACTTTGCTTTTGGATGCGACTAATCGCGA